CAGCACATGGGCTTTCCCCCTGCGCGTCTGCACAGGGCGCTCCTCATGCCCTTGTGCAGAGAAAAGGGGAAGATCGCATCCTTCTGCTCAAGGATGCTGCCCAAGAAGTATCTGGGAGCTCTCGATCAGTGTGTGGATTAAAGCTTTCCCTTCCCTTCAGCTTCATAGTAACGGGTGATGTGAACGGACACATTAAATTCTACAGCGGGAGGCTGCAGCTCCTCATCTGCTACAGCCACAGCAAAGTGGGTTCCATTCGGTCCATCTCCTTCTGCAAAACCCCCCCTAGTCCTGCCGGTGCCTCCTCAGCCCATTCCACCCCCTGCACTGCCGGCAGCCAGCCCTTCGCCACCAGGTGAGTGCCCCTTTATAAACCCAGCTCTCCTGCACGTACCCTGCAGCGTGAAAGGTGGGGAGATGGTCAGCTCAAAGCTGCCCCACGGGCTTCTGCTTGGACGGAGCAGGTTTGAACCCTGTACACAGGCTCCTGGGCAGGACAGGGACAGGGAGGTGGGACAGGGAATGTGCCCCTTTATTCCCCTTCTCCTCAGATTTTGGGGTTGGTATTTGTCACATCTGCCCACCGCAGAGCAGCAGGAGGGCTCCCCGCTTGCATCTCCCAGTGGCCACCAAAACCGAGGTGGGCTCCAGCGCATCCTCAATTCTGAACTTGATGCCTTGCTGCAGGCGAGAGAAGCGTTAAGGCAGCAGGAGATGATCCACCGGCCACGGGGTGCTCAGCCCCTCTGTCACGTACCCGGCACACCAGGCAGTGCTAATGCCGAGCCTGCAGCTCCCGCTGGGCCCCTTAATCCCTCCCGTGGATGGCTATTTCCAATTGGATTTTGCCACGGCCAGGCAAGCTAATCAGGGCAGTGTCAGTGCAGAGACTGCCCCAGCGGCGATGGCACCAGCGCTGGTTCTATCACATCGACTCAGGAGGCTGGGACAGCCCAGGCCTGGTCCCTGGCCCCTCTCTGCCCCTGACAGAGGTGTGCCTGAGGATTTATAAGGAGTCTGCAGGCCAGATGAAGCTGTTCTGTGGCTCGATCCAGCCTGCAAACCATATGTCTGTCACTCCTGTTCAGGCTCTCCTGGCAACGTCTGTTCTTAGCCATGCGTGTTTTCCAGAGAGCCATGTGGGACAGATTCCTCTCCCGTCTGGAGCAGTGCCCTGGGGAATGGTTTGGTTTTCCCTGTCAGCCTCTGGTGTCTCATACCCCTTCCTGGGTTGCTGCTGCAGCTCCTGCCACTTGCAGGAGCCTTTTATGTTGCCCAGAGCAGCATAAAACCAAAGGGGAAGCCTCGAGCCTGCTCATCTCACGAGGCTGGTGGGACGAGGTGTGGCTGAAGAGCCCAGCTAAGGCATGCAAGAGGCATTCAGTGCCTGGGCCAGATGTGCATCAACTGGTGGCTGTCACAGGCCAGCTAGCAAAGAGACTGCCCTTTCCCCACGCATGCTGCTGGTGGGATGGAGCCACACGCCCTGTGTGGTCCTCTCTTGACCCTTTAACGGGGCCCAGGCTCTCAGTGCTCAGGCAGACTGGTGACCACACATATTTGATCTGTAAAGTGCATCATGATCCAGCCGTCTGCTTTACACATCCCCAGTCATGCAGCTGGCCCCTCTTGCTGCGGCGCGGCGGAGCCAGCAGACAGGCAGCAGCTCTGTCTGCGGCGCAGGGCTCGGGCTGTGCTCTGACCTTGTCCGTGGCCGCGCGGTCAACACGGAGCCGCTGACAATGGTGGCACGGAGACATGTGAAAAGCCTATTCAGAGGATCTTGAATTGCTCATTTGTCTGTCTCACACACCAGTGACTTGCAAACGGCAAAAGCTACCCAGATGTCATTCATCTTCTGGCTTGCCTACCCAAGTAGAAAATGGAACCAGCTCCAGTGTCTTCCCGTGGAGATTTACCAGGTCATGAATACAAAGTGCCACCTGCCTTCCAGGTCAAGAAGTGTTTGCATATCGCATATCGCAAAATATAAGTGATTGTCCAAGTTGCCAAAAAGAGACTGAAGTGTAATATAGCTTGGAGGGATGTGAGCCAGCTCGTCTGATTCATCAAATGCTGTTTCTCTCACACTAAACAGGAACTTTATCCTTTCAACCTCTGATGCAACCGTGTTCCACGTTGCAACAGACGGGATAAACTTTGAAAAAGTCATGGAAGAGGCAAAGAAAGCCGTGGATGCCATCGCCTGTCACCCCCGGCAGGCACGCTTGGCCGTGGGGAGTCACTGTGGGCTGCTGAAGGTGTGGGACTACGAGCAGAGAGAGTACCTGGTCAGCAGGATATTCCCTGAGGCCAGCATCCAGTGCTTGTCCTATGACCCTGAAGGTATCCCGGCCTCATGACCTCCCCCTGGGCTTCCTGGGAGGAGCGATTGTATTGTGAGTTCTCTGGCACGTTTTCCAGGTCATTTTCTGGCCGCTGGTTTCACCGATGGAAGCGTTTACATCCTTGATGCCATTTCCCTTCAGTCCTTCTGCAAAGAGTTCAAGTTCTCGCAAGGTCCCGTGACTCACATGAGCTTCTCTCAGGATTCCGAGTACTTCGCAACTGCTGTGAGCTTGTTTTTCCCTCTCTGTGGTTTCCACGTGCTGCTCACGGCGCAGCTTTCGTGGGAGCGGGAATTGCCGTCCCTCCTGGCGGCAGGGCAGAGTGAGCAGGGCACAGGGCTGCCCCTGCCCTGCGGCTTTGTGGCTCTGAAATGCTTGTCCTGGCTTGGAGAGTCACTGCGTAAGAACGTCACCAGCCACAGAGCCGCTGCTGGCAGCGTCCCATCGCTGACTTTAGAGATGAGTCTCGGCTCTGCATCCAGCTGTAGGAAGGGCTGGGGCAGGGATTTCCTCCTGGCTGCTGCACTGTGAGGGGGGTTGCTCCCTTATCCCACGTCGCGGTGCAGAAGTGTTGAGGCAGCATTGAAGCACTTTGGCAGAGAAGTTGTAGCAACTGGTGATGATCTGTACAAAGAGAAGGATTCCCCCTTCATGCACGGGTGCCAGGGCACAGCCGGGGGAAGCACCTTCCTTGGGATTTCTGGGGAGTCACTGAACTCAATTGACTGCTCCTCTGCTGTGGGAGCACGGCAGGGGATGCCCCCGGCCAGCGAGGATGTTCTGGCCAGGCTGGGGTCTGCTCCTGTGCTGCCAACAGACCCAAATCTGTCAGACCTGGTGGTTTACCCTGGCTGTGTCTCTAACCCTCCTGAAAGGGCCAAGCTAAGGCCAGACTGGATGTGCAAAGCTGCCTGCTGCCAGCCAGGGATGTGCGTGGGGATTGTGGCTCACTGACCTTTGTGCTGTTGTTCCAGGATGAGACGTACACGGTGACTGTTTACAGGAGAGTCCTGCAAAACGGGAGCAGATGCTGGGAACGTTTCGCGGAGCTGTGCTCCCACTACAAACCCATCCGCAGCATCCTCTTTGGGGTCCAGTTAGACAGCAACGAGCCCAGGCTCCTGAGCCTTGGGGAGGACCGGCTGCTGGTAGGTCAATGTGAGAGCCTATAGGGCAGGGGAGCTTTGTGGTTAAAGTGGGGGGCTGGAGATTCAGTCTTTAAAGCTGCAGCTCCCTACCCTCTCCCCACCAGCTCTGTCACCGGGGTTGTTTCTCAGGCTGGTTTCGGGGCAGATCTGCCCAGGGTTCAAGCTGAGGCTCTGCTGCTGTGGGCTGCTAGATCCAGTCAATCCTCAAGGTCCAGGGTGCTGGCAGGCCGCAGGGAAGTTGCTGTGTTTCCTTGTCTTCCCTCCAGATTGAATATGACCTGAACATCAGCAGCAAGGGCCACTTGGAGGTCTTGCACAGGGACCGGATAGAGCAGGCTGCTGTGCCCCTGTGCTTGGCCTGGTACCCACAGCTCAGCAACGAGTCCTTTATCCTCACAGCCAACAACTGCTACAAAATGAAGCTCTACAACACGACAACCAAAATGTGCAGGTAGAGGAGAGATTCAGGCCTACCACTGCCCGGGAGCCCCATCCTGACCCTGTGTTCTCCTCTGTCTAATGTCTGTCCTACTCCTACCCATTAGCATGTGTTTGCTCATCTGAGATGCAGACCTCGGAATGACTCTAGGTCCCCCTGGTTGCTGCATCCTTGTGTCCACTCTGCTGTTCACTAACGTGTCATCTAGTAAGGTTGTGGCTACAGGTGGGTCTCAATCTGCCCAGCACACCTCGCTTGAGAAGCAGCAGTTGGGTATCAGCTAAAGAGACAGGAGCCCACACAAGCTAAGCACAAGGACTGAGTGATTCCTGGGCACTAAATTCTGCTCCTAGCCCCAATGTGGTCCTTTCTGGCCAGGGACCCTGTCCTATCCTGTCCTCTCAGGCAGTGGTACAAAGCCTTTTCACCCACCCCACCTCCCCATATCTATCCATCCTTGTACACAGCAGCCATTCAGAGAGGGGAAATGTTTTGTGAGCCCCAGAATGTATGAAAATGTTGTTTGCCTTTAGAAAGACCCTTTTGGGACCAACCTACGGCTCCCCATTGGAGAAGATCCAAATCCTCCCAACAACAAACACTGCAGACCCCCAGAAACGCTACCTGGCGTACATAACAAAGGACAAGGTACAGAGCCCCATCTGCCCCAGCTGTACAAGACCCCCACTTGTCGAGGTGATGGTTCTTGGGGGAATTTCAGTGCAGACAAAATCACGTATAGGATGGTCCTGCCTGGGAGCTGCGTGAGCTCCTGGGAGGAGGATGCAGCACTGCCCCAGTGCGCAGCCCTCCCATGGGACCCCAGCCCTCCCAGGCTCCCTCCTTCCCTGCAGGTGGGCTTGCAGATTTTGCCTGTCGATGGCAACCAGCACAAGTCCTCAGCTTTCATCTGCCACCCGGATGGTGTCTCTGACCTTGCTACCTCTTATGATGGACGCTACATCTTTACAGTGGGGGGAAACGACTGCACTCTAATGAAATGGGAGATCAACCTAAAGTGAGTACCACAGGAAGGAGAAAGGAGTCTTGTTGCAGCTTTCCACAGCTGCTTGGCCAACACAGCTGAAGCAGATGTTCCTCAGCATCGACACTGAGAATGGTGCTTTTGTCCTAAACTCCTCTGTCTGTGTCCAGAGGAGTTAAAGGCAGGTCTCCCAGCTATTTCTGTGCTTATCCCGCTGTACAGGGTGGTGCTGCACCCACGGGGCAACACAGCAGGGTGCTGCATGGGGAGCGTTTCTCTGCAGGGCTCTCTTGAGCACGGGACTTTTTGGGTTGACAAACCCCTGCCAAAGCTGCGCTCTCCTGGCAGCACGGAGTGGGGTCAGCCAGGATTGCAATGACCTGTCAGGCCCCAGGCGCCTGTGTGGGGTGCAGTGGAAACAGGAGGGATGCACTTTGGGGTGGGCTTTGCTCCGCTCTATGTGATGTAGCCGCCCGGTCAATAGAGGGGATTAATCCAGCAGACCTGGCAGGTGGTAGCCATAGAACCTATAAAATATCCCAACGTGGGAAAGGCACCCGAAGGGTAAGAAGTTGAGCAGAGGGTTTAGTGGTCCTTCTGAGGGCATGGCCGGTGCAACGGGAGGTTGCTGGGGTTAGGCAGGGATCAGAGCAGCAGCGCTGGCTGCAGGAGGAGCATACGGGGTGGCTGCTGATACCAAAGTGTCTGCTCTCCAAATGGGATAGGACAGCATTTGCGAGGAAATCCCTCCTGCATTTGAAGTCTGGATTTAGGACAAGCCACCTTAATCCTATAAAGCTTTGCTTACATGAATAAATGGACCGCAGTAAACGGGGTGGCTGGAGGAGCGAAGGCTGCTTTTGCAAAGGAGGATTTCCAGGCTCTGGCCTGGAGCACCAGTGATAAATCCTGTCAGGTTTCTTCCACCCTCCTTTACAAGAGTGCAGCTTCCCTCTGCCAGCTCCCTTGGGCAGCGGTGCCAGACGCGTGCTCCCATGCGGCCGGCGGGGAATGTGGCAAGGGCAGGATATATTTTGGTTTCCTTGCATGTCAAGGACCAAAGCTGCTCGTTGCAACGTGTGTGCAAGGCCAGAGGGTTCTCCCGTCGCGAGTGTGGCTACAGACACCCAGTAGATACACATGTACATTGGAAGGGAGCAGACAGCTCTGAACGAGCCGAAAACTGCCAGGCCGGTGCAGAGCAACTTCACCTTCACACTTCAAGGATTAGGAAGGGAGCTTAGTCCATTCCGGAGCTAGAAAAGACAGATAAGCACCATGGTCTCTGTGGGTCTGGGTTTTTGTTTCTATCCTGCAAGTCCCCCTGATAGCACAGAGCACGTCTCCTGGTTTCTGGCACATCAACCCCATGGGAGCTGGCTTTTAGCCCTCACTGTTACGTTTGCCTTTCGGAGTGCCCCTCGCTCTAGGACAAAGGCTTTGCGGTTGAGACACGCGCTGGTCCTGCACAAACCCTTTCTTGTGGGTACTGCTCGCCCAGAGGAAAGCCCAAAGGGTGCTGAGCCTTCTCACCTTCATGTGCCAGAACAAAGGAAACCTGGGTGGGAAAGCAAAGGGCTTATTTATTTTCTTTTCCACTTTGTGTGGCTTAAGCAGTCGGGGGTCAGGATAAGCGACATTTTAAGGAAGGCAATAGAATATAAATGATCTTTCTTTATAATGGCTGGCCAAGGTCCAGGCAACATTGAATTTCTACGTAATTTGTTTTGGGAGCGAAGCTCTTGATGAGCTAATTATCATTTTATTGCTGCTTCTGGCATCTTGTGCATCTCCACTGTGTTTAATACCCAAATAACTTAATTAAGGAAAAAGCATGGAGCTTGCAAAAAAACCCCCAGTGGAAGCAGCACTCCAGAGGTGTGTGTGGAAGCTGCAGCCTTGCTGCCAGGCGTGGGGCATTATGTGGCAATGCCACGCCACGGTTGCACTACCAGCTTGGTTTCCTTTTTCATCTGCACGAGCCAAATGGATTCTTTTGGCTCCAACTGCCTATGAAATTGAAACAAAGAGGTGGCACTCGGATGCTTTCAGTTTAATGTAGACTGCACCTGCGACACGGTCATGGGCTACAGCAGAGGAAGTAGAGTAATGGATTGCACTGAGTTATCGGGGACGAACGTGTTAGATCGAGGAGCAGGGAGCTTTAGGTTTGTGTGGTTTATTGCGAACACCAAGCCCCAGCTCTCTCTGCATGTTCAAAATGCTGATCTAGCTAATTCATCTCCCTCAATGTCTCTATAAGGAAGCAGAAAAGCTAAATGCCAGACACCAAGCTCAAGTCCATGGAAAAGCTCCTGGCTCCCAGCCCTGTGCTCATTCCACTAAACAAGAGGACCATTCAGCAATAATTAATTCCCACACTGTGCTATTGTATGTAAAACCTGGGTATGAAATATGCTGTAGAAGCGCAGGCTGATGATAAAACAGCACACGGTTGAAGGCAATGCTTTTCTCTCCTGAACTGGGAGGCCCAGGGCTTTTATTTATTTATTGAAAGTGTCTGTGAACAACGACTAGAAAGGGAAACGTGAAATCTCTCCTCACATGAACCCTTCCTGTACCTTCTTTTCTCTGCTTCTGCCAGTGCATTGGATGCTGCTGTTTCCCTGGGTGGGGAGGACATGATCCCATTCTACAACCTACTGGAAGGCGGCAGAGAAGGCGAATTCTTCCGGGTAATGATGCTCACTGTGAAGGCTGTCTGGCAACATCTGGTTGGAGTTTAAGATTCCTTTATACAGGCCTGACATTTCTTTCTTTGTTGTCCAGCTTGCCTTTAACAGCAATCTCATTGATATGCCTGTTAGTAAATCTTAAAGGGAGCCTTATCTTCGATGCCTGTTGCTAACTGAACTTTACAGTGTTCTGTTTGAACCCCTCACAGGAGCTGGAAGACTATTTTTACTATGCACAGCTGCGCAGCCAGGGTATCGATACACTGGAGACCAGGCAGGTGTCAACACATATTCCCTTGGAGGAAATTCCTTCTGTAATGAGAGCAATGGGATTTTATCCATCAGAGGAAGAGGTCGGTCAGTTGTTTTTATTGTTGTAATTAAAAGATAAAAGAGCAAGACTGATTGCATTCACCAAGTGTGCTGAGGGACAGATTCTGACCATCGTCATGCTGGATGGCTCCGGAGTGTGTTTGCTGGTTTTCAGTGTATTTAACCTGGTCTGCATCAATACAGTAATGGTCAGAATACGGCAGCAAACTCCTCAAAAAGTGATGATTCCTCACTAGAGAGGAACCAGGGGCAAGATGAGCAAACCAGGAGTCTGATGGTTCAGAAGTGGTCAGCCAGAGACCTCAGGTTCTTCTGGAGGTTGAGCGCTTTGCCACCACTGCGGAGGTGGGCTTCTGCAGAAGGTGAGCTGGGAAAGTTTTGGAATGAACCTTCCTTTGACTCCCAAGGGCAGCAGCCTCCAGCTTTCCAAAGCCCACAGGCTGAAGTACCTCGTGTGCAGGCAGTGATGTGCTCTGCTCTCTGTGACTTCTGCTAGTGGCTGAGCTGCTTTACGTCCAGCCTCTGGCAGATGCCTCTCAACCAGAGCATCCCGTACATGTTACCAGCGCGGGTGGGAATGTCCAGCTCCATGCAGTCATTCGGACACTGACAGAGTCTCTTTTTCTTGTTCTGCCTGGGACTGATAAAAGAATGATTTTTAGATGGAGACAGCAGCTTTTATTCCCACGGAACTTAAAGCTCTTTCATAACTGATAAAGTCTGCAGAAGCTCTCTCAGAGCTTGCCTTTCGGGTTGCAGCAGCAGAGCTTCCTATCAAACATTTCTCAAGAGCTTTTTAGCTTCATATTTTACAACAGACAAAGACAACTGATTTAATAAGGGTGCTGCTGCTTCCCCTTTTGTGGCTGTTTCTACAAGGCAGTTTGTATTGTATACAAACCTAATTGGTAATGTTGTAACCTGGCAAAAGGGTAATTAAAGTGCCTACAAACCCCCCCAAATTACTGAATCTGATGCAAGGAGATTTAAATAACAACCTCTTTGCACCAGCTACAGCCCTTCAACGCAGGAGGGGTTCTCCCAAGGGAAGCAGTACATCGCTGTGCTCCCTTCATCTCTCTGCGGAGGAGGCTGCGTTCATCTCTGTTCTTGCACAGGAACCCCGCAGGCTGCTGCGATGGTGCTGTGAGGCTCTGCCACCCCATCTGCCCAGGCACACTCTGCCAGGAGAGCCAGCAGATGGGAGGCAGGACCTTTGCCACAGCCACCACCTAAAAGACTCGCTTTGGAGCCCCCACGACCAGCAAATGTTTCACTGAGCCAGGACCGCTTTGCCCTTGTGTCAAGCTGTGGTGTTATCTCCTCATAATTTGTTAGATCTTTTCTTTGGGTTATTACATTTTCACCTTCTGGGGACAAAGAGGACATATTTCCCTGGGAAACATCTCTGGAAGAATAACTGTTAACCTCTCCTGCCCTGCCCCAAATCAAAATGAAAACAGCATTTCAGGCATGGAAGCAGAGGTGCTAAGCTGTTGTGAAAGCAGGCAACCTTCAATCCGCTTCTTGAAGCGGGTAGGACAGCATTAAAATACAGAGAGAAAGTTCATCTCTCTCTAGAGTGTTTTAATAAAGGAAAAGCGGGAGGGAAAAAGGCAGCTTGGGCTGACTAGCAAAGCTTTTGGGAATTGGTGCTTTTCTTTTGTAGTTCAGTGACGCTGATATAAAACCTAATCCCAGATCAGCCAGAGCTGAGTGAAAATGACTGTTCTTGCCTGGCGTGACATTCGCTACAGGGAAAATATAAGGCTGAGATTTCCCTCTTCCCTGGGCTTCATTCAGTGGAAAAACTTGTGACACAAGGACAAAGGCCCAAGGCTGAATGCAAAGTCCTCCCTGGGGAGATCTTGCATCAGCTTCCCTTCCTGGGGAGCAGCAGGCTTGGTATGTGTTGGCACAGGGAACTCTCCTGGCATTTCTCTGCTGCCTGTGTACCTCCAAAGGGGCTTCCTTCTGGAGCAGGAGTACACTGAAGGCAAGGAGCAGATGCTGCCTTTCGGACACACTGTACAGCTGCCAACTGAGCTGGCTTACAGCACCAGACTTCAGGAAAAACACTAGTTATCCAGCACAGCCAGTGCTTACCCATTTGCCCAAGAGACGATCCAGCTGTGCAGGATGTCAGCCCCATCGAGCAAACTTCAGTTTTGGCTTGAACCGCACCAGACGCGTGTCGGTTTGGGGGGGAAAGGTTGTTTATGTCAGCCAGGGTGTTTATGCACTGTGTGCAGCCTGGGTATGTTGAGACTTTCATGCATGTACTTTCGTAGTGGGGTGGTGTATTTACAGGTCTGTGGTTTGCCTACCCACTGTCCCCAGAGTGGAGACACAGCTGTGGCAAAGGTACCGCTAACAGCTGCGAAGTCACCCAGTGCCTGTCACAAGCAAACAGAGGAAACCCAAAATGACTATCTGCTGCCACCCATCTTTACCTAATGTCACCATACCAATGAGTGTGTAACTATCCATGTCCATCCTCAGCTGCTGAATGCTGGCTTATTGTTGGGATACACACGTGTGGTACCCACACATGCATGATGACGGTACATTGACATTGGAAACCGGTCTGATGCTCTTCAAAAAGAAAACGTATACCATTCTGTCTTGCCTTGTTCTTTAGATTGAAGAAATGCTAAATGAAGTAAAATTCAGCAACTATGTGGATACTGAAGAACAAGTGACGAAAATCAATTTAGAGGATTTTATCAAACTTTACGTAAATCATCGACCCGCTTTTGGCTTGTCAATGAACAAAATACAACGAGCATTTCAGGTTCTTGGTTATGATAATGAGAATGGAGACAAAGTTATTGACAGAGGAGACTTATTGTGGCTGCTTCAGTGTAGAGGTGAGTTATTTCTTTTCTAATATTAGTTTTATGCTTGCTAGTTCTGCCTTCAATTTCAGAATGTATTCACTGCAGCAAAAAATGAATCTGGAACTATAGCTTGGTAACCAGGGCAGGCGTGTGGAGCAACTGTCTTAAGATTTAAATTGAATAATCACATCTATTGTCTCAGCTGCACTTCTTTTCCCGCTCTGAAAATCTCTGCTGGCCTCAGGTATCTTGTCTGTCAAATGATGAGTGGGGATTTTGGCAAGTTGTATCTTTCTTCCAGTGTATCCTCACCTGAATCATTGTTCTCTCTTCCAGCCACACCGTCTCTGGAAAGGTAGTATAAAACTGAGAAAGAGGGGGGACAAGAAAGGAGGGATGGAACCGCTCAGTCCTGTGTGAAAGACTGAAAAGATGGGATGGTTTAGTTCAGCTGAATCAGGGAGAACACTGTAAAGGTGTTTATTATGTCCAAGGCCATAGAGAGGTAAATAACTAACTTGTATTGTCTTGCTTCTGTTGTAAAAGTGCAGCTAAGCATTAAAACAGGTAATGGGAAATGCTGTGTTACTCAGTACATCAGGTAAAAGTCCTTGCCACAGAGATCCTTGGAGACTAAGGATTCAACCAGTGTGAGAAAGGTTAGTTATATGGATGGTGTGACCGCCCGTAAACAGATACATTATTAGACAGAACAGTTTCATAACAGATCTATAACCTTATGCTTCAGGGCATGAGCCAACCACTAACTGGGAACACATGCTATGTCCAGGTTATTCCAAGGTACTAGATCAAGAATTTCCTGCACCTTTCTCTTCCTCCTCTGTGTGGAAATGGCTGCAGCCATTGACACGGGGCTACACAGATTGTGGTCTGCCCTGTGCCAGGAATTCTTCAGTGGAAATATAAGCTCAAGCCCCTCAAGGTCAGTGTAGCCTAAAGAGCTCTCTGCAGCAGAATTTCTGCCTTTGATGAATATTTATACCCAAAATATAACATGCAAGAACACTTTTCCTTGGGTTCAACATTTCCCTGTGTTGGGATCATGTGTTTCGGTTGGTGATGTGTGTGTCTCTCTCTCTCTCAGTGATACCAAATCCTCTTTCAAACTGTCCTGTTCTGTTTGTGCACTGTTGGTATTCGAGTTGCCTTCTAGTTTTTGTGCTAATGACACCATAACCCAAGAGGTGGGTGTTGCTCTGTTGTGTGCAGGAGAGCATATGACAGAGGATGAGCTGGCGCTGTGTCTGACCACCCTGCTGGGCAGGCGTCCTGGGGGAGAAGGATCTGACTCGGACACCTCAGGTATGGGATTAACATTGCATGCAGCACAGAAGCAGGATCGCTTCCATTCCCAAATAGAACAATTTAAACTGCAAACCCATTACCCTGTTAGGCCAAGAGCTGCCAGAAACACTCAGACAGGATTGCAAAAATAGGCATGGAGCTATAGGTTGTCCTTCTCCCGTGCAACAATTGCATGGGTGTATCTAAAAATAAACAGAGAATGAAATATAACTGGGACCTGACAAGATTACGTTGCTGTTTATCTGCTTGCTGGCTTGCAACTGGAATTAGAAACACACAGTGGAAGGTTTACACGCCAGAGTCCACAGGCAAAAAGGAATCCTACAATATGCAAATTACAGTGTTGATTTTATCCAGGCAGCAATGCTCATTGTAACAGAGCTGTTGATAACCACTGCATCTGTCTACAATTTATGTCCCAGTCTACACCAGTCTAGAACAGCAAATTACAACACTGATTTCAGCCAAGTGGTGCTGCCCGTTGTTAATTGGAACTGCTGAGAAGCGCCCTGTGTTTGTATAATTCATGTCCTGGGCCACGCCAGTTCAGAATGGCATCTGGTGAGGGCCATTGAGGAACTGCCTAGCTCTGCAAAGCAACTTTGAAATCCCGGGATTCCCTGGGATCCTAAAATCACATTAAATGGCTGGAGTGTGAAAGTTGTCCCCTTGATGCTTGTGCAGCAGGTGCGACTCACAGCCTTGGAGGTCCAATAGATTGCATCCCTGGTACAAACACATGAAGTATTAAGCTAGTACACCAATACTTTTCCATGATTCCTTTGCACACCTTCAATAGCATTCCAGCCACTTACTGCTGCTTATAAATTTTACTGATCTGGAAAGCCATTTTTACATCGCTATTGTGTGTTTTGTGCTGTTACTGCTCTTCAGGTGAAGCAGCTTTGACTGAGGAAGAAATTCCAGCAGAAATCACAGCAGAGATATTTGCTGGTGACATTCTTGGCTTACCTGTTGCTGAACCAGAAAAAAACAACAGGAAAAAAGAGAGATGAATCTCTGGTCTCTGACGACTCAGAATCACAGCTGCCACAAAGTTTTCTACTAATTCCTATTTTCCACTCTCCTAAAATATCTGCAAAAACTGTATTTTGTGTTTATGACAAAGTAAAGGTCACGTAGTTTCATATTAATCAGACTCTAGAATGAATAAGCCTGCAGTTTGGCATATGCCATAAGCCTATGATGTCAAACCTATGCAAGGGAACACTGGGGTGGCTGTCAACAAAGCAGAGGGCCACCCCATCCCTGGCTGGAACCTTCCTAGAATTCATTTCAGGTGAGTTCATGCCAGATGCAGTCTACTTTCATTATGTTAAGCCAGTATTTATTTGCGAAACCTGACAGCAAAAGAGCAATGTGAAAGTACTATATTGATTCGATACATTGAAAAATGCTTGGATAGGTTAGAATGGATTTGTAATTATAAACCCAGCAGACCTCAGTAAAGAAAGGAATGCTGTGCTGTTCACAAAGGCCAAAATGGAAACCTGGCTTAAGAAAAATTAGTTTTTCTTTCTGAAAGTAATAGTTCCAATTAGCAGTGTAATACCAATGGGACAGCATCTTACTGTGTTTGTGTAAACACCATAATGAGGCTGATATAAGTTGCTGTAGAAAGATCAGTGAAGTGCTGTTGAACACGCTTCCTTCTTTACATCATCCTCAGCATCAATTTGAATAATAATGTAGGCCCTTAAGAAGCGTTCCTTTCAGCAGCAATGTTTTTTAAACAGAGATGCCTGTTACCTACTCTGAAAGTATCCGTGACTGTGCAATTAGTGCGAGCAGCAAGGCGGGCACCGGGTGCCGGTGACGAAGGAGCCCAGCAGTACCATGACCGCAGCGGGTGTGCGACAGGACTTCTCTGCGCTGAGAGCTGGGCTGGTTCAGCCTGGAGAAGGCTCCTGAAGGGGAGACCTGAGAGCAGCTCCGGTGCCTAAAGGGGCTCCAGGAAACCTGGAGAGGGGCTTTGGACAAGGGATGTAGGGACAGGACAAGGGGAATGGCTTTAACCTGCCAGAGGGGAGATTGAGATGAGCTCTGAGGCAGAAGCTCTTCCCTGTGAGGGTGCTGAGGCGCTGGCACAGGGTGCCCAGAGGAGCTGTGGCTGCTCCATCCCTGGCAGTGTTCAAGGCCAGGTTGGACACAGGGGCTTGGAGCAACCTGCTCCAGTGGAAGGTGTCCCTGCCCGGGGCAGGGGTTGGAGCTGGATGAGCTTTAAGGTCCCTTCAACCCAAACCAGTCTGGGATTCTTTGAGATTACTGGAATTATTTTCGGCAGCTGAGAAACCTTACAGCCACCAGAAAACATAAATGCTTACACCGGATTGATCAAGTCTCGTGTTTAACGAGGCAAGTGTCTTACCGAACAGGAAGCACTGCTAATCCCCACACC